AAATCAAATCTGTTTAGACATGAGCATCGCATTTTATATCAACCTTTAAAAATAGAATTTAATAACTGTGACCAAATTCACATAACATTTGAACAAGATACTTTTAAGCTGTTTAAAGTGTCTGTTTTATCATGTTGCCATTTCCCCTCTATTCTTTCATTTGTACCCTTTTTACCGGCGCCATTTTACTGTGTCATAATTATTTTTGCTATTATTATGTATGTATAAATGTATTTCTAAAGAATTAAAGGATTTATTGTTAATCCAACATTTTTATTGCTTCAAACGTTATTAACTCGTATTTATTACATTTATCAATCTGCGAACTTAATTTAATAACGAAAATGTACAAGAAAAATTGATTCCTGTCGCGTACATAACGAGTTTATGGGTCCCACTTTGTTTATTAGAGGGAATCATTGTAAATCGATCCAAAATCTGCAAAAACGTTAACAACGCTCAAGTCACATATTCGATATATTTCATGATTAGGGATTCCTAGTATATCCCATAAGACACAACTTTCTTTGAAGAAATCCATAAAAAAAGGCATTTCTAAGTTTTGCGACAAAGCATAAACAAACAACAGAGATCATATACGATTGAACTGATTAATTTGTTTAATGGAATATCAACTCCTTATGGGCCATTTAATGTCAATATTTTTTGAGAGCTTTGAAGTAATTTGGTAATGTTACTATTGTTGCGGCGCTAAGCAGGTTGACTGTTAACCCCGCAAACGGAAAAATAATATAAGATAATACGATCGAAGCGAAGGGTCATTGGCTATTTATAGCCAGGAAAGAGAGACCTCTGGTGAAAGGGTTACAAACTGAAGGAGGAGGTAACTCCGACAATACCCCCCACCAGATTAAAGGTTGTAAGGAAATGAAAACTTTTAATATATAAAGAAAAAGGTTCGTTAAAGTCTGAATATTGTTCTTGTGGGCTGAAAAGAAAATGTGTCAGAAGTGTGGGTTGAGATTCGTGATTCGACGAAATGTAGTGTTATCTCAGGGTGCAGTGTTATATTTCAGTGAGTTAGAATTGGGCACGTCCTGTAAAATGCGTCGGTAGTGGTCTGCGTTGCTATCAAAATTTGTCTTTTTTTGCTCCACGTTGAATTGGTTGTGTCGATCTATGCACCTGTCTGCTGGCTTGTTTGTAGTTGGTTTGAAAAACGAGGTGGTTCGTGTGGGTTTCATCGGCGCACTAAAGTTAATAGACGCAGCGTATTCGTGAAGTTGAGCTGAATTTCTACCGAGTGTCGAATTGCATGTTTGAGAGAATTTGCTGGTATTGTCGATAGAGTATCGTTCTGGCAAAATCTCGGTTTGTTTGAGTCGCGTAATTGCAGAATGAGATGAAGGACGGTGAATTGCCTTTTTAAGACTGCATTGGACATTTGAAATATGTGCAATGTTTAGCACAATGTGAGTGGATGTGTAGTCAGTTGAAGTTGTGTTGACTAGAATGTCCACGTGTGTTTGAGAAGAATGAGAAGCAAGCAGTGGCGTGAAGATATCGCCACGTGGTGTAAGTTGAGTGTTGCTTCATGTCGGAATCACGAATGTTGTTTAGAAAATGAGACAGTGAGTCGTCTGCAATGGTTTGGAATCACCAATCGTATATAATGGAACAGTGAGTCGTCCAGTGGTTTGGTTCACACTTTTTCTATTTCAGTCCAGAAGAAAACAGTGTTAGTAGAAAATAGCGTTGTTTTCCGTTTGGTACCGCCTTAAGCATGTCTGCCAGGTGAAATTAGGTCAAACGTCGCCGAGAGAAAGAAAGGGTCAAGCAAATATAGACCAGTGGGTAAAGAGTTCTAAAGGTTCGTCTTCAATAGTAGTAATTGTTGTTCTTTCGTTGATAGTGTACGAAAAGAAGTTTTTCTCATTTTTTTTTCCTATCTGGCTCTCTTTTTGGGAAGGTGTGTGTATAAGAAATTGTTTGTTTTTGTACATATATATCGTCTTGTGTGTTTTTTAGCAGGAGTGGAAAAATCACGTCGGGGTCACCACTTGTTGCGGCGCTAAGCAGGTTGACTGTTAACCCCGCAAACGGAAAAATAATATAAGATAATACGATCGAAGCGAAGGGTCATTGGCTATTTATAGCCAGGAAAGAGAGACCTCTGGTGAAAGGGTTACAAACTGAAGGAGGAGGTAACTCCGACACTATCATCATCATCATCATCATCATCATCATCAACAACATCATGTATTTTTGGCAATTTTTATATAAAAATGTATTGCTGGTATTTATACTCTAAAAATCTATTTTTATATTTTTATAGTCCTTTAATTTTGTTTAAGGGTTCACTATTTGTCCATATCTGGAACCCTAACAAGTGCGACCCCCCCAGGGTGAACCTGGGAACAACAGTAAGTAAGAGGTGGTTCCATTCTCTTCACAATATCTAATCTCCCGATCAGAGACTTTGATATCAGTTTATCGCCATACTCAGGACTAGATCCTATACGAAGATAGATTATGTCAAATGAAGGGCTTAAATAAAGTTTTCACTTCTTGATATTGGACTGTATATATTGAAAATCTCTATCTATAAAAGGCAGGATGTGTGTGTGTGTGTGTGTGTGCGTGTGTGTGTGTGTGTGTGTGTGTGTGTGTCGAATGCACGCCCGCAATTTTCGACGGATTTGCACCAAAATTTACATGCACATGCTCCAAGTTAGCGGGAAGGCCAAGACCAACATTGCATTTCCCAACTCCCATCGATAGTGAAAATAATAGATTTTTTTCATGCTTCTACAGCAGTTTTCATGTAGTTTGCGGCCATTTTCTACTGGCCAGAGTGAGAACCTATAGCTGGCTACCAGTAATAGACAGTAAGATTCTATTGGCCAGCATGAGAGCCAACAGCTGACTGACACGAATGTTAACTAGCATAATAGCATGCAAAAAATTCGATAGCTGCATTCGTCACAAGTGGGAAAAATTTAAATCTGCATGGCACTTTACTCCAATTGGCTCATTCGCTTGCTTAACCTCAACGTTGATTCTGATTCCGCAGAACTGGGTTGGGTGTGAAAAAGTATTTGTTGTTAACATTCTTTTTCATTCAGTTTTCCAGTTACGAGTCTTTTTTTTTAAAGCTGATCGTTTTGTGTTCATTTTGTTTAGTTCTTTTTTTTCGTAACAGATTTAATGTTTAGTATAGAGCTTAGAAAAAAATTCGCAGTATGAGATAGGCAAGAAGTAAGGCATGTAGCAACATCAGTACGGCAAAAGCGCACTCCTCTAAAGGCAAGGAAGGGCAAAAAATAATTCAAGATAGCGATTGCTGTATGAGTCGTACGATTTTTGAAGTAAGCACGGGCAACGCCGGGCCATGCTGCTAGTATATATATATATATATATATATATATATATATATATATATATATATATATATATATATTCACCAAACGAGCTATATATTTACCTAATGATCACTAGATCTTTTGGTGAATATACAGGGCGTATGAAAAATCCTTTTACAAACTTTTGAGGTCGGGCTCCTCACACCAAAAACAAGGACAGAACGTAACCTAAAACCGATTCAAAATAACCTAAGATTCACTTGGGGTCTATTTCAAAGATGGCTTCCTGTGTATCAGTAACTACACAAACGTAAACCTGATTTCTATTTATTGGCTTTCGTCTGGCCTTTGTTTATAATAACGCGTTCATATTTCCTATCTATTTAATGTTTAGTATAGAGCTTAGAAAAAATTCGCAGTGTGAGATAGGCAAGAAGTAAGGCATGTAACATCATCAGCACGGCAGAGGGCACTCGTTTAAAGGCAAGGAAGGGCAAACATATTTTAAGTCAAGTGATAGCGATTGCTGTATGAGTGGTACGATTTTTGAATCAAGCACGGGCAACGCCGGGCCATGCTGCTAGTTGTACATATAAGTGGATATATTGGATATAAATTCTATTGTATCAGTTTGACGTTTAAATTTGAATGAAAAGTTCCTTGAAATTTCAAAGCTAAATTTGTTTCTGTTTATATAGGAGTCTTTTATTTATGAAACTGTCCGGGATAAGAGTCTGGGATTTTGCCCACTGGGAATTTTGCCGCTGGGATTTTGCCCACTTGGATTTTGTTCACTGGTTTTTGTCCGCTTGCATTTAACTGTTACCCCTGAATAGACACGGTATATAGAAAAAAGGGAAATAAATAAATAAATTAGAATTAAATAAAAAAAAACGATTGATGCTTCAGATATATTTCGATTCCCGTGTCCAGACTATGGTTGCCAAATTGGACAACTTTTGAAAAACCAGCGTGACGAAAATTATGACTCTCTCAACTTGCGATATCTTGCATTACTTTAAAATTAAATTAGAGGCGAGGTTGGGAGGGTGGGTTCTACTAGCGGGAAAATCGTCAGTTCCAAATTTAGAAGAAAACAAGCTTTCGGGGGTAGTCTAATTCTCTACATTTTACCTCAATCTGGTAACTCCAGCTTCAACGCGGGTGTTTTTCGACGTATTTAGCAATTATTACCATCGCTCACCCAGGTGGGGGGAAAGCCACCCAACATCAAGTGGTTGGCATTCTGTGAACAAGTGAACCCTAATGAGGATTACAGAAGAAGGGGAGCTCAAGCAGAGGTTGGGTTGGAGAGAGAGAGAGAGAGAGAGAGAGAGAGAGAGTGAGTGTGTCTCAGATTCAAAAAATAGCCGATCGTAGTATGATTTGGTAAAAGCTATGACCAAGGAGTGGCCATTATTAAGTACGTACTTTCCTATCTCTATTTATTTGCAAAGTCTCTGCTTTGTGGACAGGTGTTACTACCCCCGCCCTCTCTCGCTTTTTCACTATCTCTCTCTCTCTCTCTCTCTTTCAAACACACACACACACACTCTCTCTCTCTCTTTCACTCTCTGGCCTTCTCACGCACAGGCACACGTGTAGAAAATAAATTAATTCGGATTTATTTGTAATACATTTGTATTCAAACACCTGTAGCTACATAGAAAATGAATCATGTTATCTATCTATCTATCTATCTATCTATCTATCTATCTATCTATCTATCTATCTATCTCTGTCTGTTCATATCTATCTATCAATCTATCTATCTATCTATCTATCTATCTATCTATCTATCTATCTATCTATATATATATATATATATATTACTTCTGTTCATATCTATCTATCTATACATATATACGTATGTATGTACGTACGTATCTATCTATCTATACATATATATATATATATATATATACATATATATATATATATATATATATATATATATATATATATATATTCCTTCTGTTTGTATCTATCACTTTCCATCTGTTCATATCTATCACTTTCCTTCTATTCATATCTATCTATCTATCTATCTATCTCTGTATATATATATATATATATATATATATATATATATATATATATATATGCACATTGAGTGATGGTATTAATAAAATAGTGTTTGATGTAGAATAACAAAGCTTAAAATATATATTAATAGTAAACATAAACATTCATTTTTTCCTCATGGTTAGCATAACTCTGAGTTGTGTTACCGGTGAAGAAAAAATGTATATTTATTTTATATATATATATATATATATATATATATATTAATAAAAAAAAAACTTTGATGAATATCATCTTAGCATCAAGAAACTAACACGTATCAGATTCTCCAAGCCGTCCTTTCTCATTACGTCTCTCAGAAATTTCAACTTCTTCTTCCTGATGTTAAGTTTCCTCTTTGTTTTTATACTCTCCAAAAACTCATCATTGTTCACACGCTTGGTCCATGATATCCTTAGCATCCTTCTGTAGAACCACATCTCCATCGCCTCGAGTCTCTTCTTCATCTTTGAGGAAATCGTCCGGCATTCGCTGCCGTAAAGAAGAATAGATATCACATTGCAGTTCAGGTTTGGTTTGGTTTGTTCTACGGCACATCAACCTCAATGGCTCATTTAATGCCGACAACTTTTTTTTTCCTGGTAATATTTTTGTTTTGTCAAAAATCTATGTCTGTCGATATTTTTTTCTCAAAAATGTATAGCTGGTAATATTTTTTTTTTTCAAAAACGTACAGCTGGCAACATTATTTTTTCAAAAACGAACTTGCTATTGGACGTAGTTTATCGTCTTACCCAGGACTCGGATGTAGTTTATCATCATAACCAGGACGCGGATGTAGTTTATCGTCATACCCAGGACGCGGATGTAGTTTATCGTCATACCCAGGACGTAGATGTAGTTTATCGTCATACCCAGGACGTAGATGTAGTTTATCATCATACCCAGGACGCGGATGTAGTTTATCATCATACCCAGGACGCGGATGTAGTTTATCATCATACCCAGGACGCGGCTGTAGTTTATCGTCATACCTAGAATGCCGTAGCAGTTCAGTACTCTTTTCTTTGTTACCAACGAAATCCTCCTGACTGAATACTCTGCCTAGCTTTTGGCATGCGTTTTTGGTCATTTTTAATTAAAGGTCATTCATTTACATATACTAATAATATAATATTAATATTAATGATATTAATATCATTATGTATCCGTTTAAATAAATAATTATTATTAACCACACTGTGCAAGTGCTCCAGAAAACAATACCCCACAAAATATGTTTCCAAAATAGGTTTTTAAAAATTTTTTTCCAAAATTCAAAAAATAGAAAAAAATCTTTTTTTTTTAATCTTTTGAGTTTTGGAAAATGTTGATATCAATGTTCTGAATACGGTTTTAAATCCGTCATGTGTAAATAACAACTAAGCCAATAACTCTGTTGAATGTAAGGAATTTCTGAAAAATTAATAGTTTTATTTTTAATCCGACATTTTTTTATTATTTCAAACTTTTTTTTAATTTATAGTAGATACTTTGAAATACACAAAGTTTGATAAATAAAAATAGGGCGTCTATTTCAAATACGAAGTATCCGCTGAAGTAATAAAAAAATTCAGGGATCAATTTTACACTATATCGATGTTTTGAATAGGAACTCACCTTCTAAAATGATAAAAAAAAATCCATATTTTTTTCATTCTGACAACTTTTATATCTTGAGAGGTGGGGGGGTTACTGAATGCTAATCGACAAAAATTAATCCCCGAAATTTTTTTCTCTATTTTTTTTTTTTTGTTTTGTTTTTTTGCGAGTGGACTGGTTTACTTAAGAAGTTTCCTAGACGTCTTCATGTTCGATGTTGACCCCAGCCCCAGCTATGGGTAAATAGCAAGACAAACCGCATTCTTGGATTTCAACTGGTCCACCGCAGAAAGAAATAGCAACCTACTGCGGGAAAAAATCTGCCTCGTCAGTCATGCATCGAAAGATACATGATCGTTAAGCGTGTATCACATGCATGACACATAACTAACTTATCCGACTGTAAAGATTTCTTCTTTCTAAAAGAGCGTTTCCTGCTCTCTATGCAACCATTCGTAACCTTCTAGAATGGCTTGAGCCTCGGATAAACTTCAGCTCTGTAGATCGTCAAAAGAAATGCTGAGATGATTCATTATGTAACAAGTATAATTTCACGTAATAATAATTCAATATAATTTCACGTAATAATAATTCAAGTTTATATAAATAATAAATCACTTAGAAGTTTATATAATAATAAATAGCAAATCGTACTTACGGTCAAATCACGCTGAAACACCGGTTCTCGTACAATCACCGAAGTTAAGCAGCGTAGAGCCAGGTCAGTACTTAGATGGGGACCGCTTGGGAACACCTGGTACTGTAAGCCCCCAAAGTCCAACCCTTACCTCACAGTCGGTGAGGGTGTAAACAATAGTGTCAGAGCTATGCCGCCCGGAACTTCGTTCCTGGTAGGGCCACCCAAGGCGGACAGGTCTGACACACACGCCGGCTAACAAAGGGCACTGGTGAAAATCAAAGGCGCGTCTGCATCGGTAAATCGGCGGCTTCTGGTCGTTCTCTCTGCGTCTCTGGGAATCCCATGACAAGCAAGAACGTTATCCGAGTAGGCCTGGGTACCCTACTTGTAATTTATTTCAAGAATCTTCTTCTCATAACAGGAAGAAGCCGGCTCAATCCGCCCAGGGTGAATGCCGCATCAGTACAGTACAGTAGTTATATAATAAATTGATGTACAAATAGAAATAACTTATTATGAAAGTTGGCACAGAAATCCGAATACACACACGTATAATGAAAAATGCTTTTTAAAACCTAAGCAGATATCAAGAGAGAGAGAGAGAGAGAGAGAGAGAGAGAGGCAGTAGAGACAACATGAAGTGTGCTAAACTGCTATGTAATATCAAATTCCCTATATGTCAGTGAGGCTTACAGCCATATCACGTTGAAACACTCCAAAGTTAAGAAATATCAAAGCCTCGTCAACACCTAGATGGGTCACCGCTTGGAAATACCATGTGCTGTAAGCTTGGATGTGGGGTTGTTGTAATGGATAACGGCTCAGAATCTGAAATCGGAGAGCCAAGTTCCAATTCCGGTTGGGTTTGTTATGTGCACTTACGTGGAAATAACATTGGGAATGGTGCGTGTCGTGCTACCGGTAACAAAAAATATGTATATTTATTAATATATTGTTTATATAGCTCTGTTATATTGAATCGAGCACTTTTTTTTATTAGTACCACCACTCAATCTGCGACATTATATATATATATATATATATATATATATATATATATATATAATATCACGCGCAAACACACACATATATATATAAAGTTTATATATATATATATATATATATATATATATATATATATATATATATATATATATATATATATATATATATATATATATATATATATATATATAACTTGCTTATTCATGAATCTGTCAGTATCTGTCTACGTATGTATGAATAATTCACAGGAATGTCATTAATGGATAATAACTGACAAGCTAGTACCAATTTACTCTTTCTATCTATCTCATGATATCTTTCAGTATTTTCATATCTATCTATCTATCTATCTATCTATCTATCTATCTATCTATCTATCTATCTCAGTCCATTTATAAATATAATTGTATTTTTCTCTGTGTTCAGCTCCCTTTCTCTCTTTCTCCTCCCAGTATATATATATATATATATATATATATATATATATATATATATATATATATATATATATATACTACTACTAAAAGAAAAACAATTATGTTGGTGTAGCCAACTGACAACTTGTCAGAAGACCTAACATCTTAGGCAAGAAAAAATCCCGAACAAGGAAAGAAAAAAAACCCAAAAAAACAAATGCAAACAACTACCTACTAAGTAAAATATAGTGCCTCACGCCCAAACTATCTAGAGCAAAAGACACTGATATATATTATGTCTTTTGTCCTCTTATATATATATATATATATATATATATATATTCAGATTGATCATATATATTTATATCCGTCTATACTTTTCAGTTCATCCCCTCTTGCTCTCTCTCTCTCTCTCTCTCTCTGCTTCCTCTCTCCCTCATCTATCTATCTATCTATCTATCTATCTATCTATCTATCTATCTATCTATCAAGAAACGGGTAATATTATTATTACATTTCTGGTATCTATCTATCTATCTATCTATCTATCTATCTATCTATCTATCTATCTATCTATCTATCAAGTAACAGGTAATATTATCATTACATTCCCGGTATCTATCTATCTATCTATCTATCTATCTATCTATCTATCTATCTATCTATCTATCTATTCCCAGTCCTTATTCATATCTATCTATCTATCTATCTATCTATCTATCTATCTATCTATCTATCTATCTATCTATCTATCTCCTTCTGGGGTAATGATTAACAAACTACTCCGTCCTTCCTGGTTACTCTAAATTAATGATCTTGTCTCAAATTCCACTCGACTTGCTCTCCATGTCCAAGGTTAGCTTGCTCGGAAAATTATTCATCCGATGAAGTATTTCATTTATTTAACGTCGGAAGATCAAATCAAGTTCTCATTTTCGGGCTATCAGACAGAATTTTACGCCCCATACTATATGCGGATGGTCTATTTACGGACTGATAAAACCTGCTCCTCAAATAGACCGAATATATATAACAGCAGCGGTTTAGCTGCCAATTGGGTTTCACTGTAGAAATTGCTGCCTCGTCAGTTGGTCTTTTCGTTGACTTACTGGAGTAGGTTTGTCTATTTTGGGTACATTGTAGGTTGTTTGGGAGGTTTGGTGGGGTGACGTCAAGGTATGCGTGTACTTACTTACGCAGCGCTTAGGCCGATGCGCTATAAGTAACAGCTGGGCCCTTGGAATCATGTAATACGCACATGGGACTCGGTGTTGACCTGATGTCGCAGCAAATAAATCCCGGGCCACAACTCGAGTGTCCAAAAGGCCACATGCACGCATACATACGCATGTATTTCTAGATAATAAAAGACTCCATCTAGAGATGCAGCCGCCTTTTATTTTGGCGTTGCATAGACGGGTAAGTTAACCAGAGCCAGTGGGTTACCCATGTAAATAATCGTCATTAAGACGCAAGTGGTTACGGAATGAGAGAAAAATGAAAAAAATTTATTAAGAAGTGAGAACAATAAAAAAAAAAAAAAAAGAAACAGGAATTAAGAAGACAGAAGATGGCGATTGGCATTGTGTTTAAATTTTTGAAGATTAAAGTTAAGTGGAAAGCAATGAGTCGGAAGAGAGTTCTACAAGCAAGAAGTGGGATTGAAAAAAAACTGTTAGCCTAGAACTTACGGTTTACAGCTAGTAAAATAATGAGACCTCGCCGCCAATCGAGTACTGCGTTTAAATTCATACGTATCAAAGAGGAAAGTTCATCTGTACAATTACCATGAAACTATTTAGAGAAAAGACAGAGAGAATCTACTTTACGGCGCTGGAAAAGGAACTGAAGCCGAGATGCCAGAACAGGACAAATAACATTGCAGATTCTTCTTTGTATTTTACCAAGAACCTCTAAATACATAGCACTAAACATAAGAAGCAGCAGACAGATATGACTGTTAAGTCCAGAATAGAAAGGTAGGTTGTAAAAGGGGGATAGTTGGGAAAATTAATTTTAGGCAGAACAAAAAGAAAAAAAATAGGATTAAGAGAAGTGTAGAATAAATGGAGAGGTTGGAATAAACGGAGATCCCAGGTCAGGACCAATAATATTGCTGATACTTCTTCGGATTTTATCAAGTATATATATGATAAATGATAGCATCACAAACTGACACGTGAAGACATGGTACATTAAAAAAATAATAAAACAAAAAAAAAAACATATTCCGCCCAGTCAGTTATGTGCCATGATTGATACACGCTTAGGCGATCATGTATCTTTTGATACATGATTGACGAGGCAGATTTTTTTCCCGTATAAAGTCGCCATTTCTTTTTGCGGTAGACCAGTTGCCATCCAACGCTATAAAGCCCGGTCTGTCCTGCAATTTACCCCATAGCTGGTGGGGGGGGGGGAGAAGAAGAGGATTCATACCCTTTCCATAAGGGAATGTAATGAATTCGACTAGAATTATTCCACCCTTCAATCTGAAAAGGCGACACTTGAAATCTATAAAGGGATGAAAACGCAATATATTCACAGAAACACAATTTTGTATCTGTCTATATTTCTGAGATGAGGTATTATGTACACTATTTACATTATTCGGACTATTGTCTTCATATTTGTCACCATATTTATTACAACGTTTCGGCCGTTGTACGCTCCGGCCTTCTTCAGGTGGTTGGAATGTCGAACTGAAACCTTTATTTCGCTCACGGGGATAGACTGTTCTAGTTCCACGTGTCATGTCTAATGGATGTCAGTTATCTCCTGTTAATTCCTCTCTCCAAGTTCTCCACTGCCTTAACCAGGTATTGAACTCACACTCTTTGGGTCCTGTCACTGGATCTAACTAACGTCTTTACCCACTGTACCATGTGTCCTTAAATATGAATTTCTGAGTATTATAAACCTAATGTCTTCAGCAACAATTTTTTACCAGTGCTCATATTGCGATTTTTGCTGTTATCATTGAATTTTTTTTTACTAGAACTCATATTGCAATTTTTGTTGTTATTATCGCTTTTCTCTGGCATTCCTTATCACTGGTTCCCATAATGTATTCATTTCTATGCTTGGTCGGCTCAGGAGATTTAAATAAAGAGTTCAGTTCGACATTCCAACCACCTGAAGAAGGCCGGAGCGTACATAGATCCCAAGTTGAGAGCTCATACCATCGGGAAGGTCGTTAAGGACCAAGGATAAAGCCCTAGGGGAGTGGCCGTTCAGGATAACGTTCATTATCACGATTTGTTAAGAAAGACTGGAACAGTTAAAAAATCTGCCCAGAGACACCATATATATATATATATATGTGTGTGTGTGTGTGTGTGTGCATATGTGTCTACGAGAAATCTTCATAGAAAATATGCGTCCTCCGACAGGAATCGAACCTATGACCTATACGGATCCGTCATATAGCCTGACGTGTCTTAACCGATTCGGCCACAGAGTAACGTTCGGTTAGCAAGGTCGATTTTAATGTTTTTAAACAGAATTCTCCATGATTTTCTCTCATTCATTCATAATAATAATAATTGTCGGACTTTCTCCATTTCCTAATGTATGACGTCATTTGTTTGCATTTGGATACTCCATGAGCAGATATGAATGAATCTAAAACCTCGGAGAATTCCAATATGATATCTTTTAATCATTTCCGAGACACAATGATTCAAAGCTTAATCTAAACAATTGAACAATTTGGACAATTATATCATTCATATATATATATATATATATATATATATATATATATATATATATATATATATATATATATATATATATATATATATATATATATATATATATATATATATATATATATATATATATATATATATCATATATATATATATATATATATGTGTGTGTGTGTGTGTGTGTGTGTGTGTGTGTCTGTATGTGTGTTTCAAAATATGGATTAAATCTGGCAGAGTATTCAAATAAGGGACAGGAAGGATCCAGTTAGGATCGAACTCACTACTTAGCAGTAAAGGTTTGAAAGCTCCTTACCTCAGTTTGGTACAAGGCCCCGACTATGGGGCATCCAGTCAGCGTCGAATTCTCTTCACAGTAATAATGGTTAAACAGACGAGTCTAGTTGACTAAAACATTGCTCTCCGCCGATTGAGATCCTCTGGGGATCGAACTTACTAATACTGAGTAGTTATCCTAGCGATTACTCCATACCGAAGCGCTTATTACCACAGTCTAACACAAGGCCGCAAGTATGAGGTACAGGGTAAGACTCGCATAATAATCACCAACCAGACTTACAGATTGACCATTATTCACGTTGAAGCGTCCCTTTGAAGAGTTTGGCAGAAGTGCACATATATAGTGCACACAATTAGGATCGAACTCAGTATTATTGGTCAGCACCTAAACAACCTCGTTAACAATTTACACAAAACCGAGACGCCTGTGGCAAGTCATTTTTAGTTCGTTCTTTATTTTTGTAGTCTTGTTGCAAATAATGCAACGCTTCGTCGACATCTGGATGAAATTACTCCAAAGAGATAATGATTCAGATGCCGTTCAACTGAGAGAGAGAAAAAAATCTTACATCTATTTCAAGGGATTAAACAAAGCAAAACTTTTAACTACAGATATTGGGGCAACGTAGTAAAGCCTGATCCAACGCATGGTTAGGCATTAATTAATTAGCCTAAATATAGAATACAAAGTAGCCTTCACGTTTATTTTGGTATGATTTCTTTGGCAGGACACACAGCAATTAGCGTATCAGAATGTGAACGCTTATATTTTTAGAGACGAATTTGTATTTTCAGTGCTGGCTTGATGCTGTTGTGCGTTAAAAAAACATCTTTGGAGACTAGAAGATGGTTTCTTGAAAGGCATACCGAAAATTATATTTTAACTAGCTAAGTCCACATGCATAAAGCTATCTTAAAAGCCTATCGGGCGCCATTTAAGCTAGCTCCTGCAAAGGGCTCTTGATTAGGCCTTCATCACAATAGGGAGGGAGGTGTAGATGTGATAGGCAACAATAAACTACAGAAGAACTCAAAATTGATCGCTGCATTTAAGTATTGCATTAATATTTAAGTATTGCATTAATTTTAAAAGTTCAAAGATAATTCTTCTACCGCTCATTAAATTTAAAGACAGTTTGATAAACGTAGGCCTTTACTTTTCGTATAAACAATTATTTTATTTCATCGGTGACTTTCGCTAGATTTTGCAGTTAATTTAGTTTATTTCCAAATTTATTTCGAAGTTATACAAATTGTTATCGTACAAAATAATTCGTCGCAAAAAAAAAAAAAAAAAAAAATCACGTAAAAAATCGCCGAAAACAATCGCAGTAATGAAAACTTAGGAATCCAAAATTTCAGGATCGCGCCCCCAGATCTGGCCGGAAGGGGTTTAATTTGCTCACAAAGTCGGCCCGATTCCAAAATATGATATGTTGGGCTACGTCCTCTAGGAGTAAAGTTGAAAAAGTGACACACTGGTATTCGCATTTATTATATAGATTATAAGTCTGTTATAGTCATAGATGTAACCGTAAGTTCTATGCTAAGAGTTTCTTCTATAACACTTCTCGCTTGTGGAACTCTGTTCCGGCTTCTTGCTTCCCAGTCAATTTTGATCTTCAAAAACTTAAATTCAATGCCAATCATTACTTTCTGTCTTCTTAATTCCTGTTCTTTTATTGTTCTCTTTCCTTAATAGTGTTTTTTTTTCTTATATTCTTTAACATTTAGTAACACCCTTGCGTCTTAGTAGCTTTATTTCCTTGCTTGGGTGAAATGATTAAAAAATACAA